TTCTTCTGTACTGGAAAAGGCTTGAAAGAAGAAAAACAAGATGAAGGATCCCTAAGACCACAATGTAGTAAAAAAAAATGTAGTAAAAAAAAAAAATCAAAGATTATTTCCATCTTGTTCTAATTTGTTTTCCCCAAGCATGACTACAGTTATCTCAAGTGCTTACTGCATCCCACGTGCTGTTTAGCACCTGATGTAAGCACTAGATATATGCAGTTTTCCTCACCTAATTCCAGAGTAGAAATAAAAGGAAAATACAAAGTTTATCCAAGCATACTTCAAGCACTATTATGCAGAGCATGTTGAATTTTTACTTAAAGGAGATGAAAGAACCACCCCATGATACCAACCCAAACCTTTCCCATTTCTCCCTCAAGCTCCCACCTTTAAAAAAGACTCCTTTGTGTTCAATTTATGAATGAGGGTAGGGCTTACAAAAGTCAAGGATTAATAACGTTTGCTTGAGCCAAAAACAGTACGATAGGCCCTGTGCACGCTCCCCTCCAATCCATCTCAAGTCCGAGCTGCAGTAACTCCTGCTGCTTTTCCAATCTGAGGCCTCTCACAGGCACAGGCTGCCAGTGGAGCTGAGTGGTGCCAAACTGTCTGGTGGTTTTGTGAAGAGCCAGATGGGGACTATGGTGAGATGAAGCTGATTTCCACCCATGAGCTAAGAAAAGATGTGAATTTAGGTGAAAAGATGGAGTAGTGGGCCTTTTAGTCCTTACCATCCACATAAAGATAATGGAAATTAGAATAAATTGGGCCCCCCCACCCCAGACAACAAGTTCTGCAGAGACTTACATCCCACAGAAGGGTTTGTTGAGTGAAAGTCAAAAAGATCCATAAAATAGCCAAAGTAGTATTTATAGTTGATTTTCTGACTTGCAAAAGAGGAGGACTGTCACAATGGAATGCAAGACAATGCAAAGAATCTTTGGCCTAGATTTTTTCAGGGAATTATAGAAGGCAAGGTATATGTATTAAAACAAGCAGAGCCTAAATGGTTTTAAATTTACCACGTTAGCTCCTGCAATGCCAATTTAAACTATCACTTTCTATTAAAAAAATAAAAGTTTAAATTGGGTGGTATTCAGTTCTGATTTAGAAACTCAATAGAAACCTAATGTTTAAGGCACAGTTGTAGCAGCTGAAACAGTATTTAAAGTTGTAGGCATCCTGACCCAAATAAAAAGGGAAAAAGGAAACCCTTTCCTTTAAAACTATTAGTGTAGACGTGGCTTTAGGGATTGCATCAGCTACTAGGGCTCCAATTTGAGCTTTTTTTTTTTTTTAAGATATATATTAGCATTACAATGGAGAGAAAATAGAATTCTGTTGCATTTAACAAGTTTAATCCATATGCAAAAGCACTAATCTTGACAGAAAGCTACATACAGTTAAAACAAGTTCTCTACTCAATTTTAAGTATCCCAGTAGACTATATTACAGAAAAAAACCCAAACCTCCGAGCAATGTGTAAAATTTTTAATTTATAAAGCAAAATTTGCATACTCCAGGTAAATGCACATAATTTCCAAACATATTCCAAATTCAGGTGGAATCATCAAGCCTTTGAATTCACATATTTTTTTCCATTTTTATCTAAGCATGCTTTTTACCATATGCGGTTTCCTTAGTATTTTTGCAAGTTTTTCTTTTTTAACTGCAAATTTCACTATCCACATTCTGTTATTTTTGTTCAGGAAACAACCAAATATGACACTCACTGCACTCTCCAATGTGATGGGGGATAAGTGTGACAAAATGCTGCCAACACTGCCTATCCAGGGGGCATCAGCTGATTGCCCTCTGTACAAACCCTGAATGTCACAAAAATTATTAAAGAAAAGCATATATCTTTTATAAAAAGAAGTGATTTTTTATAGAGTCCTATAGAGAAGAATAAAAAACAGTTTTATAAAATGTAGTTCAGTAACATTCCATTGCTTTTACCCATAATCTTCTCTAGTGTTTGCCGAAATCAATGTTAGTGAAGCCAAAGAACATATTTCAGAATTCTTCCCGATTATATGCTGGACTGTTTTTCCAAAATAATTTTCAAATACATTGACTCTTGAATCAAAACATGTCTGAACCTCTGATTCTCTATAAATTAAAAATATGCATGTTTCAGCACCTGGGATAAAATCTAAACAAAACATAAGTATAACCCAAGTCCTTCTTTCACAAAAAAAACCCCGAAAAATGCGATGTTGTGCTGAAAATTGTGAATTCCACTGCTTTTCAAAACTCTGTTGAATTGACATAAAGAATGTATAAGACCATATCTATGGATCTATCAGCAGAATAATTTCCATCAAAAATGTGAGAAGGTATTCCCCACCTGCAGTTTTTCCTGCCAAAGCCCCCAGCTTTGCAGTTATGTCATCAAACCTGCTTTTACTGGCATAACTACTTCGACAGAGAACACTCAATGTGCATGTGCAAAGTTATCCTGGAAAAGACAGGAGCTCAGAGCATGAAGTACATCCACACTAACAGTACTTTGCCAGAAGAGCACATTAGCCAATCCTAGGAGGGTGCTGCCAAGCTTCAAGCTTTTCTTTGATTTCATCATCAGCACAAGAACCTGCAGGCAAGTTTTGCACTGACAGTGCAGTGGCAGGTTAGAGACTCACACAGGCTCTCAGCAGCCTGACTTTCAGCCAGGACATTCCTCAGCCTCTACGTGGGCAAAGAACCTGGTTTCAGAATCTTCTCTAATCGCTCAGCTATAGGTGTCATTAACAAGGATGCTGAATTCCTCCCCTGCTGCCAGAAACATTTTGAATTCTTATCAAAGCAGATATGTATATAAACATACAAATACATAAAACTGACATATATATTCAAGTTTAATTACTTTAATGTCTGCCATTTAAGTGTGGAAGTTCTGGGCCTTGCTTTTATTTTCTGTGAAGGAAAGGAAGGCAACTGTTACAAAACCATTTCAAAAAAAAGCATAGTGTAGTTTGTTTTTGAATACCAAAACAATATGAAATACGTCTGTAAACGCTTCGTTATTTTGGTTTCAACCAATGACATGTATCATCACAAACTTCAGCATTGCTGCAAACAGTGGCAAACAGTGCTTAGGAGCATCTGTTTTATTTTACTGTGTCAGCTAGGGCTGTTTATCAGCAACAGAGGGCTGTACACAAGAGTGCTTTGCAAGTTAAACAGTGTTGGTATTTTATATTCTTTGAATATACAACTTTTCTGTTTTGCTAAAAGCCACTTCTGAATCAGCTTATGACTTTACCTGCTCTAGAAAAGAACAAGAGTAACCTCAGCTTAAAAAGAGAGATAAATAAACTGTGAATTCACATATTTTAATAACAAAAGTATCTTATCACCTGTTTACCAAAGTACTGAAATTCTGAGTCATAAGATAAAAACAAATTCCTTCGTTTAAGTCAGGAGATCTTGCTGGTTAATAATTTGTACATCGTTCACAGGTTACTACATCTGTAGTTACCCAAAGAAACCAGAACAAATAAGAAAAGGACTGGACCTCAGCAGGGAAGTGGGATGGAAAAGTGAAGCACTGGCCCAGCAGATGTGGTCTGAGGTGCTTTGGCTGCATATAACATGGGAAGGAAAATAATTTCCCAGGGGAGCAACTCCTCCTGCATTTCCCAGTATCTGCTGTGCTGATAGGGAAGCAGTGGAGCCCCTCAGCATGTGGTGTGCTGCTGATGACTCTAGCATCATTTTAGCCTGTCCTCAGTGAACTAACAAGCACATTATTTACAGAAAATGGGATTCACTCCTTGCTAACCCAGAACACACTGCTTCAAAGGCTTGAAAGCCTTTCAAAGGCCCCACTCACGGCCTTGATTTTTCTGTAACACAGTGGGTACATTCACAGTCTCTCAGTTGCTTTTCCTGCCTAAGTAGACCATAAAGAATACATGGTCAAGGAAAAGGTTTGTTTTTTTTTTTCATGTACTAGTGAGTGCCAGACAAAATCCGTAATTATACTTGTTTATACCCTCCAAGAATTTGTTTTCTGACTTTGAAACCTCTGTACCTGAAAAGTCTGTGTCACTATTTCTTTTCCTTTCAGCATTCATCCACATTTATGCACAAATTCAGAAAGAAACTCAACCCCATTACCTTTCAAGGAAGTATTTTCCTAATTTAGAGCCACAGACACCTTAAAAATTGCATTAAGAAAAATTAAACACCTCTGAAATTTAGTATTACATATTTAATATATGTTACATACATAATATATGTAAATAATTATATATTCTACATTTAATATTATCTTTGGATAGCTAAGTATGGGGGTAGGTGTCCAACTTATGGCCTCTAGGTTTGACTGCATAAACTTTCAAATTCTTTCAGGAAAAAAATTTAATTTATATTTCCATCTACGACTGAACACACAGTGTCATTTAACGTCATTACATTCATTAAAGTCATTAAAGTCATTTAAAGACTTGAGCTTACAGCAAATGTTAAACTCAATTCTCTTTGAAATAGCTGGGCCAGAATTCAAACAAGAAGTGAATTTTTGAATTCTCAGTTCCTTCTCCAGGAGCTGAAGATCTTTGACATCCTATTTGCCAAAATGACTGACCACCCTCAGTACTGAAACCTGGCATTAAATACAACATGGTATTTTAATAGTTGGTATATGGGAGTTATTATGGATAGGATTGTGATCTGGATGATGACTCTCTAATGCCACTAAAACACACATTACAGGATGATCTGCTACTTATATGAAGGAAATGGACAGCTACTATGAGGACAATACCCAGATTTCAACTAGAGGCTGTGACTTCTGGGAAACATTTAGAGTCTTAACCACTTACAATCACAGTTCCTGGACAACAACGCATAGTTGAGCTTCAGTTTTGTCAAAAAGCATATACATGAGAAAGAAGAAAGAACTGTTAAGCAATCTGTACCAATATCCAGAACTGCATTTTACAGCACTGGAACAGAAGGATTTAATCCTATAATTACAATATATTAAATGGTACCTGGCAGGAGCCGTTGGGTAAATTACTTTTATATGTTGGAATGCCATGTCTTGATTCAAAATTTGTTTTATCCATGCTCTTGCTCCTTGGCCAGTATCACCTGTATGACACAGAAGAGTACAAGAATTCGTTTGTGCATTTAGCAAGAAAATTATACAATGTCAAATATACTTCAGATTAACTTAATTTAAAATTATGAAGTTAATACACTAAAATGTGTTAAAAGAACTAAAAAATAACTTTCTAGAACAACTTCAGTCCCCTTTCCAATGGACTCAAAACTTTCTAGAAAAAGACTAAAGTCTAAGACTTAAGAGATCCCACAACATAAGTTTAATCAATACTTTACTACATTCAATGACTTAAGTATCTCCCAAGCAGACACAAGACCTTATCTCTTACTTACAGTTTACCGTATTTGCTTTTAAGTGATAAGACAAAAATCTTGATGACTATCTTAAAAAGTGAAGCAAAATAACTGTTGCTCCCCTTAGAAAAGTTAATTACTTTTACTAGAGAATTTTATGTTAACCCACTTCAGAATCCAGTAAAGAAGATCTTCACATTTAATTATGCTAACATTGCACACAGGCTTTAAGGGAAAAAGACAATTTGCAAAGAGATAGGTTCAGTTAAAATATCTAGCAGACTCAAAAAAACCTTAACCACACAGTTCTGTTTGAAAACTAGTCGAGATCCACTCTCAATCTGTTTTTTTTCCTAGTCTTACCAATGCAGCCTGTGGCCAAAATCCCTGCAGACTGAAGTGCTACATACAGAATGAATTCTTCTGTAGACAGTATTTGCTCCTTTTAAACAAATATACATATATACAAATAAATATATATAAACACATATATATATATACACCAGACAATGTCTCCAGCTTGTCTTTGCACCACTGGTATCTTCAACCATAGCTTCACTGCCACCTCTCTGAAGAGCAGGGTCCTCAGTGTAATATAATACTTCAAGCTTAAGGAAACCAGTCCATCAAGGAATATGGTTTACAGTAGAAGGATGTTCAACCTAAAACACTGAGTGGCGGCTCAGCAAACTGGAATTTCATTACTGCCACTCATGCCATAGGACTTCAGTCTTTCTCGAAGTTGAGGTTCCCACATATTATCAGCTCAAACTGCTAATATTCTCTATTTTTTTAGCTCAGGTTGTTTGGTTTGACTTTAAAACTCACCCCATTCTTTTCAATAAAATGGCCTATCCAAAAGAAAAAAAATTCACTGTCCTTAGCCAGGCACATTACGTGGGCTCATCTGAACAATGCCACATGAATATACCAATTCATTGTCAAAATTACTATAATTCCTCAATGGAGAAAATCTGCTCTTAAGCACTCTAACAAAATTCAATGGTTTTTATTTACAAACATAATTAATGTACCTTCAAAATTAAAACAGAAGGCATGAAGGAGTCGAACCCAGCAATTTTTTTCCTGTTGAGCACAATTAGCATAACTAGAACTAACTGGTCTCTGACCTAAACACTCCACATGACAAATAAAAAACAGGATTGCAAAACACAAATCTTATCCTGTGCTAAGTTAAACAGTAAAATCAAAGTTACCTCCTTAACTGGATGCTTCAGAACACAATCCCACAAGCACTTTGCTTATGCAAGTACTGTGGTCTCAAGTCCAAACCCCTCTGATTCTTCACACTCTTGCCATACAAGGGTTTCCTCAAGGCTGTTGTCACCTCACTTATAAACAACGTATTTTAGGAAGGCTTGAACTAACATTTTTTTCCCCTATACACTGCTTTTTGTTTTCAGTTAGAAAGCCAAGGTCTAGGCCTTGCAAATACTTGCTCAGAATGAACCCTCAGGTAAGTCAACGAACTCTCTGAATGATTAGACAATTGGGACTTAGGTCTCTACAAATTCCTTAATGATGTAGGATAAATCATTATTCTATTATTTATGCACACCTCTTAAACTTCCCAAAGATCTGCAGATACATTTACTGTTATTGAAGACAAATTGTCCATGAAAAGGTCACAGAAAACTCAGCAAGAGAAAATTTAACTGTGACCTTCTGTATGTCAAGAACCATCATGGTCCAAATGCTACTCCAACATGTGAGCACTTGTATGGTCAGATAAAATATTTTGATTTGCTAGGAACAGAACAGGAAGGAAAAGAGGAGACTGTGACATCAAACAAAATCCAAAAACCTCCTCAAATGCTAGTCTTTCATCATTATATGTTCTGAATACTACAAAAAGAAGCAAATGATGGGTGATTCTGCTTTGAGTTAGTTTACAAACTGAAAAAGACTCATGGCAGCTATATTACCTTCTTCTCCCTCCTCAAGTAAAATGTTACTTTCTTTCCTTTCAAATATAGTTTGCATTTCCAAGTTTTCTTTCTGTGCAAAATTTAAATTTAACATGTAACATAATTAGGAAAAATTTGTTCACCAAAAGGGCTTTCAAGCTGGCTGCCGAGGAAAGTCACTGAGTCACCATCCCTGGAGGTATTTAAAGATGTGTAGATGTCCAGGGAAGCTGAGTTCTCCCTGCCCAGGTATTTAAATGACATGTAGATGTGGCACTTAAGGACATGGTTTAGTGGTGGACTTGGCAGCGTGTGGTTAATGGTTGGACTCGATGTTCTAGAAGGTCTTTTCCAGCCTGTGATTCTGTGCTTGTTACAACATGCAAAGTTGTAATCCTCAGCCTAAAAAGCTATTACATAGTTGCTATGTCCATTTGCCTTCCCTGCCAAGCTACCAAATGGAACCTCTACCGAAATCTGATGCACAGTATCCAGATTGTTCTAACATTTTTCTACACCATTTTGCACTTACATTCTACACTTGTTATAGTTTGTCTAGAGCAAGCATTATGAACAAAATGGATTTATGCCATTTGACTGCCACTTTCCATCACAAGTGCTGTACAAAAAGTTTACAACTCAGGTTTACAGGCCCACAGCAACAGCACTGTGGCAACTCCTGTTTTAAATTCTATTCTGTGAAGCTGCTAGAAACCAAATAAAACCACCCCATTACAGACATTATGAACAAAATCATCCTGAAAAAAAAAATTGTAGAGTACTTTAACCACATGTGGAATCAACCTCTAACCATAACCTTCCCCTACTCCTCCAAGATTAGAGAAAATTATTTCCTCAAGCATTACAGCATTAGCATTAACAAGAGAGCTGAACACATAAACTTTCACTTTCATTCTTTCACTCACAGAATTTTTAAAAAGCAAAATTAAACTAGATTCATGAAACTTAGTTAATTAATTCATTAATTAATGAAACTAATTTAGTATGGACACACATCTTTGTTAAACTTAATAGAAGCTAAAAGCAAAAGTAAGCTAAAGACAGGGAAAGTGTTGAGCACGTTGCCATATGCACATGGGCAGCTCAGTAGTATTGATTCTCAAGGCCTTGATCTAGCAAAGACCTATTCTTTTTTTAATGTCATGTGGACCTTGCTATTGTTATTTAGCTCATTAGAATTAACTTTTAAGGAATTAAACCCAACAAAACACATGCTCCCTTCCTGCCCTCAGGCCGGTCGCTGATGTAGGTAACTCTCAGCTGCAGAGGGTGGCCATGAAGCCAGTCTGGACACGGACAGAGCCCTTCTGATCAACAAGAAGTCGGTAAATGAACACTGGCTTTTAAAGGGTGCCAACGTTATTCTAATGCCGATTCTAATACAGCAAGAACCACTTTAACTGTGAGAGTTCATCCTCTGAATGTGGCTGCCCTCTGAGAGGGGCAATTTAGGGAGTAACAGGACTCGAGGAAACGGCACGAAGCGTAAGGTCAGGTAGCACGGAAAGGTTTTTCACCCAGAGGGAGGCCGGGCACAGGAACAGCTCCCCAGGGAAGTGGTCACAGCACCAGGCAGCGTGGCAGAGCCCACGAAGCCTTTGGACAGTGCTCCCAGGCACGCGGTGTGACTCTGGGGGTGTCCTGGGCAGGGCCAGGAGCCGGCCTGATGTGAAGATCCTGATGTGCCCCTTCCACCTGAGGGTGTCCTGTGATCTCCCGGAACGCGTGTGCTCTCACGGAAGCCGGTCAGCTGCGAGCCGTCCCTGTGGGGCCCTCTCCGGGCACCCTCGCACGGCCCCGCCGCCCTCCGCCTCCCCTGCCGGGCCCAGCAGGGCAGGGCAGGGCCGAGCCGCGGGGACAGGGTCACCCCAAAGCCCTGCCCCAGCCCTGCGGCCGCCGCGCCCACCCCGCCCGGCCCTGCCCGCTGCACGGGGAGAGAAGGGAGGGAAGGCAGGCACCTGAGCCGTGCAGGAAGATGAGGGAGGCGGTGTGCCTGCCCGCGGGGGACACCACGCTCCGCTGCAGCGCGGCGGGCGCCGCCATGGCCAGCGCTCTCCTCCTCCTCCTCCTCCGGGCCAGCCCTGCCGGTTCCGGGCCTGCGATGGCCCTGTCTCCGCCCCCAGCGCCTCCGCTCCGGCACCCCGGCTCTCCTGGCGCCCAGATGGGAGAGCTCTCTCTCGGGAGGCTGCGCTTGGTTAGCAAAGGTTGTTTACAGGCGGCGCGGGCTCGCTCCGGACGCCGCGTTTAGCGGTGCCCTGGGACAGAGCCCACCCCTGTGGTGTCACACGTGAGCGAGAGAAAACCCCTGAGGCGTGTGCCCCGGTGGACTCTCTGCTTTTATTCGAATGAAGTTGCAGGATTCTTCTGTCTCCTTTTTGGACAAAAAGCTCTGGCGTTGCTGGGTTTTCCTGACGCACGTGTGTGAGGCTGCGGCTCGCCAGGAGCAGCGCTCCGGGGAAGGCCTGGCTGCAGGAGAGCCGAGGGGAGGCTCCAGAGAGTGAAGGACCTGCAGGGAGCACCATGGTGTGATAATTGATAAAAGATTCGTGTTAATCACAAAAGCATTGGGGTTTGTATAAACCAGAATACTAAGGTCTGAAGTGAAGCGTGGACCCCAGATAAAGGAAAATATATGATTAAATAATTCTGTTTTAAATCACCTTGTTATGAATACTATGTTTTCCAAATAAGTTGTATCTACTACCAGCTTACAAAATCGGACTTTCCGATGGCCCTTCCTGCCTTTGTCTGATCAATGCTGCCCATCTTTAGGACCAGACTTCCAGAACTTCGCTGGTGGTTATCTACAAGGACCAGATGGTTATCTGTGAGACTGACCATAGCCCGGAGACTTTGTGAATTTGAATCCGTATGTTTATTCGACCACCACTGCTTACCTAGCAAAATTATGACAGCAAAAAAACAAAAATCATTGATTACAACGAGAAACCACACTATAAGAAGAGGCTGCAAACCAAGGTTCAGTGGAGCGTGGAGTAGGCAGCGACTCCTCACGTTCCCCAGCGCTGCTTGCTCCGTCCATATCAAATAAAGCAATCTAAATTTTGCTGAATATTGAGACTTTTGTTTCTCACTTATAACAATAGAAAAGGTCCCGCAGACATTTGAGAACTTGTCCGACCTTTATCCATGTCTAAGCACACCTATCCTGATGCTCTTGCTAGTCTCTACTGAGCTGCCATAAGCGTATGAGGAGTAGGAACTTACTTTTGCGCTTTTAGGTAACCTATACACTTTCAAAGTATTTTTTTCCCCCCCCCGCTAGTGCTGTGCAGATTAGCCACCTGCTTTGGCGCTTTGAGGTCTGCGACAGTGGGACGAGGATGGCCGGCCATAAACCGCGCCGTTGCCATTTCCCTGGCCAGGTGCAGCGCGACCCGGGGTGAGCGGCGAGCGCACGGATTAGTTTTGCAGTTCATCACAACGCGTTTTGGCAAGGCACAGGGGCGCACCTGCTAGTTCTTAAAAATGTAATGAAACCCTAGCCTCTTGAGGTAGCACGTTATTACCTTCAGAATGGCCCGTGGGTTAAGTAGATGAAACATCAGTGTGTGTGTAGTATGAGGAGCATGCTGTGCTTGTATTTCTGTTCAAATTACTGTCCTGACTACTCTATTCCTGTTTATTTAGGCCATGAAATCTTAGGGCACTGGTTAAATGTAGACTTAACGAACAGCGTGTTATTCTGCCCCTCTAGAATGTATGCAGCTGCATTTTTAATATATCTGAAAGCGTTCTGCAGTGAGGCCAAGAAGTAAAGAGAAGGAAAAAAAAATCTGATAGTTGGGAAAATGAATAAATTGCATGGTGGGAAGGGATGAAAAGTATATCTAAAATTTTCTATAGTGTCAGTTGTCCAGTTGTAGAATACAAAATCTCAGCAATGTAATGCCAAAATGAACAAGTCAGTACTGATGGTGTTTAGTAGCTAAGCCACACCTTTCTTTTCCTTTGATTTCCGGTACACAAAAACAATTGTGGTACTTAAGCCATTAAGGCTCATTTGTTTTATTAGCTTAGAAGGAAAATTTAGTTGTTATTATTATAGGGCAGAGTCACTCATTTAATTATGCTTATTTGCAATATTTTAATCTATTGTATGAGCAATGTCATTTTTTGAGGGTTATTATATGTGAAGAGTTACTAAACAAAGGTACATCAGTGATGTGTGGCTTTGGACACACTCTTCTGCACAGTTATGGCAATGAACCATGATCGAGTTTTTTGAAGCTTATAAATTGTCATTCCCTGCCTCTGAGTTATAAATTTGGAGGTACAAGATTTCTTTGTGCCAACAAATAAATCTTGATGCCAGGAACAAAACAAAGAATAAAATACCACACCATGCAAAAATAGTGCTCAAGGTTTGGAGGATTTTGTGGGGTTTTTTTTTTTTTTGTTTGTTTGTTTTGGTTTTTTGGTTTTTTGTTTTTGTTTGTTTGTTTTGGTTTTTTGGGGTTTTTTTTGTTTTTGTTTTTGTTTCTTTAAAGATAAGCACTCCATAAGACTTATCCTTTTTTTTTTTTTCTGTTAGAAAACAAAGAAAAATCTAACTATCTTTTCCTGAATAGAGGAGACTATAGGGCTGGCTTCAGGGGAAAGACTAAAATTTTTTTTAAAAAGGACAAACCACACAGCTACATAGAAACTTGTGAGAGAAACTGAAACTTCTGAACAAACATAAATGGAAAAGTGTGTTACAATTTGAATGACAACAAATATACTGTAATAACTTGTTACTTATACCTGAGGAAAATTTTTTCTTGGGTTGATTTTGAAGTGTATTGATTATATTGAATATTAAAGATATTAAATGAAATTTAATGATTTATGAAATTTAATTTTTTTTTAAACCCCCCCAATCCCACAGCAAAAAGCCCTTCTTACTGTATGGGTCTGAATCAAGTTCTCAGACTTGGCCAGTGGATGATTCTATTGTTTCTGTGAATTTTCTCTTGTTAGAGGAATGAGAGTCCCCTTCCCTGCCAGTTTTGCCTTCTACCTAAAGGAGGGGAAGGAGGGAACATGCCTGGAGTAAAAACTAGAAAAGGGTTATAACTCTTTTCCTGGGCCAAAGCTGTAAAGCCAACGAGGCAGAGAAATCATGGCTCCTAAAACCTAGCCTTACAAACTGAAAGGACTCTCCTGAATGAATTAATAGTATGTTAATAACTGTGGAAGATTATAGGCAATATGGAGATACCTTGCAAATTTTGTTAAACTAACATATGCTTAAGTTCTAATGCTTATGGTGTTTTACAAGTCTTTCACTGCTGACATGTGACATCTCCAAAAGGAATTTATTGCATTTCACAACGTTAATAAAATGTGATCCCACACCCTTAAAAACATATTCTGTTGCAATTGCTTCTCTTTTTATTTTTTTCTTGTCTTAATGAAATAAATTGATTACATTGTGACTTAAATGTGAAATAAATATGGAAATGTAAATATGTGGCCGTATTTAAGTTTTCCAAAGAAAGTATATTTTAAGCTTTGTTTTGTGCCTTAGGATAGGCCCTTGCTCTAAGTGCTCACTGATTGGATTCTGTTCTCTCACACTGACTCTGCTCAGAAAAAAACAAAAGACTTCAATTTTCCTAAAACAGTGTTGATACTTTTTCTCATTTAAAATGGCTTTGCATTTTAAAATTGACTTTAGCTGAAAGCAGTATGTTGCAGAGTAATTTTTTTGTTCAGCATGTGTACATATATAACATCCAGAAACACTGCTACAGCTGTATATGCAGAGCTAAGGCTCCTGCACTTGATATTGAAAAATAATTTTCAGGTATTGTAGAGTTGCTGCTGGGTTTTTTTACTAGGTGAGTTAATCCACAGATGCTTAGCTAGTGATTATAAATAATTATGTCTGATTTCTAATTGATTGTATTATTATATAATACTTATTATTATATTAGTATGTAATTATTGTATATCTAGGTGATTTTGACAGGAGCAAGGATTTTGGTGTGGAAATAAAAATATCGAGTGTTGGAAACTTTTCACATCCTTCCTTTATTTCTTTCTCAGCAGTGTGGCATTATCATCATCACCATATCAGGAGATGGCATAATTGACTGAAGCTATCCTATACTTGTTTTCTTCATTATTGAGTGCTAAAATTACATGCTGGATTTTGCTCTTTTGTACTTTTCTTTCCGCTCCTACCCTTCTTCCAGGGCTCAATGGTCTGTCCCCTATTTTTTACACCTTCATGCAAGTTACTGTGGTCTGATAAAAACAAGAAACTGTCCTCTAATTTGCAGGTGGTTTCATGTATTGGACTCAGTGGAAGTGCTTTGACATAGAATTTATGTTTTTATGTTTCTGCTTTCAGTATACATCTTGGCATAATTTATTCTGAAGAGCTCTTTATTGTCAAGAGCTCTTTGCACAATTTCCACAGTAGAGGTAGGAAGTGACACAGAAATTACTATTCAGGCACACAACCTAGTGGTCCATTTATCATGCACAACTAGTCATACTCAAACCAAGCCAAACAAAAATGTATTTTCATTCATATTTTTTGTTGAACAGTTGAGTCTTTAGCAAATGATCAACTTTCAAATTATGTAAATTTTGAAAAATTGTTTTCTGCCCCGTCAGAAGTATGTTTTAGGGATGCATTCTCTTGTTCCTTAGTAGAAAAAAAAAAGACCCCTGGCTGGGCTACATCAATAATATTGTGCACGATAGGTAGGATTTAGTGTGGAGCTGGGTAAGGGATATCAGTCCACAAGAGAAAAGTAAGTATGAATACTGTCTGGCATCATGGGATCTTGACCCAACGTTTCTAGATACCAGAACAAGGTAAACAAGGAATAAATAAACAGATCATGTTCTTCTTGGCCCAAGAGACAAATCTTGTGAGTTAATTTTGCCAGCAGGAGCCAGATATTTACTGTGTGCCATCCAAATGGTTTAAAAACAAACAAGGGCTCTGTCCCAGGGACAACAAGGGGCAGTTCCCTTCTTCAGGAATCTGAGCCTGCACCTAGCCATCAAGCTGCCAAAACAAACCCAGGCTTGGCTATGTTTGTGGTGCCT